AAATTCCTGTTCCTCTGTCTTCTCTGTGCTCTCATTTTGCATGCGAATAAAATGCAGCAAGGAAGGCTCGGAAAAGGCTTTATTATTTTCCGGAGGACACGCCGGAGACAAAAATTGGATGGCCGAATTCCGGATCGAGAGAGAGCAGTCGTCATTTAGGGCCGAGTAGTCGTCGAGTGGGGTTCGGATGCTAGTGTCTCTTCCTGTGACGCCATACGCGGCACTTCTTCGCCGGGTTCATCGGCGAGTTCAGCTACAACAATCAGCAGTTCAAGACAAAACTGTTTAAGTTACCGGGCACTTGTACGCTTGAGCAAACTCCATCGAGTTTTTCATCATCTAAAAAGAAGGAAAGTACCCGATACAAAAAAAAAATTGTTTTCACCTCATTGACGCGAAAAACGCCGGGCGGGTGCGCATTTTCGAGATATTGCGTGAGGCGCTGGTCGCTCATCTCGCCGCACCAGAACTGAAAAGAAATGGTTTTCGAATGGTTAGGAACGAAGCGGGGGGAGGAAAAAATATGCAAACTATTACCATAGCAGCAGCGATAAAGTAGACTTGATCGGGGGTATAGCGGTCGAGTCCGGGGAGTTTTGGCTCCAGTTTTCCGTAGAGACGTTTCCGCTCCTTACGATAGGCCTAAAAAAAATACTTTAGAAACCTCAATACGTAATTGTTCCCACATCCTCTCTCTCTCTCTCTCTCTCTCCCTCTCTCTCTCTCTCCCTCTCCTGACCTACCCTAAAGCTCGACCTCAACCCGACATTGTCAGCCACCGTCTCGTCATGGGTCAGGTCGCCTGGTTGCTAAAATTCAAATCTGGTGTTTTCCGTTCACAGAATCGCAACGTTGAAGGTATGATTCATGCTGTTCATCGGGAGCGTCTCCTTCTCGTATTGGTGTTGGATGCATTCGACTTGTTCCCAGAACTGCTGCTCGTCCTCTTCCCCGATCAGCACCGGCCTCGCTCTTCTGATGTCTAGAGGCGAAGGATTCGCAATTGACGGGATTCCCTACTGTTCGGATCGATGGTGTGGCCGAGCTCGTGCCCGACGATGAAGCCGACGCCGCCGTACTTCATCTCCAACGCCGCGTTCGCCGAGTAGAAGGGAGGCGCCAACATGCCCCACATGATTTCTGGATAAACAGGTCTTGTTGCAAGTTGGAAACTACGAATTTTGCTATAGGAGTTGAAGGCATTGACGAGGGCATTTGTCGGCTTGGCAGTGCCCTGAAGAGTCGGGAATAGTTTCACAGGTACTGGACTGTTAACGGGGGCGGGGCGGGGGCAGGATAGCTAACATGTATAGAAAATGCATTAAAAATATTCAAATTTCTCGAAAAATGAAAAGCATCAAAATTTCATTTTTCAAATTCTCTAAAATAATTTCTGATGTTTTTATACAAAAACTGCCTGGAAAACTGAAACTTGAGTTTTTGAAAACTAACATTTTGCTACGCAAAGGGGCTTCCCCGGCTACCCCCCATTAACAGTCCAGTTATACGTTAAACGCTTTGTAGCCGGTCCACCGGTTGCGCTTCGCACGAAATACAGCCCAATTTGGCGCATCAGCGGGGGTGTACTGCAATTTTTAGTGTGAGTACAAAAAAACCCCGCCGCACCAGCTTATAGAAAGCCTCCACCAGGCTTCGCGGCCAGGTCTTGATGTCTTGCCCGACAAGCATCGTGATGTTTTTGATCTTAAAATACTTTCGAGAAACCACGGACTTTCGGTGCTTCCAGGTTATCGGGGGGCGGTTATTTTAGCGCGGCGGGGGGGGGGCGGTTGTGAACCTTTTTCCATTACCCGCGTACGGATCGACTAATTAAAAGTTTACCATTTCCCTATACGCCGTTTAAAGTGGTTCTAGACTGTTAGCGGGGGAGGAGAAATTGTGAAAGATCATAAAAAATGTTGAAAGATTTATGGGTAAGTCTCCAGATAACCCCCTCCCCCAGCCGGCACCCAACTTTTGTATCTCGGCTCCCTGTTCATCTACAGGTGTGTAAAGTATACCAAAATGTGGTCCTGCTCTGGCGAGTATTTTGGTATACTTTTGATTGTCGGAGACCTTATAAGGAAACTACAATTTATCAATAGGCAGGTATACGCTAAACAAAGAAAAGTTGGCACCCCCCCCCCCGCTAAAATAACCGCCCCCGTTAACCTGGAAGCACCGGACTTTCTTACCTTTGCCACAGCAATCTCCTGGGTGGGCGGATCGGCCCACGGGCTTTCGTGGACGATTTCGTAGAACGCCTTGCGTACCTTGACCATCAGCTTCTGAAATGAAGCTGGTTTTTTGGTAACATCGGGATGTTGTTCTTTTGCAAGTGTTACTACAATGGTTTCTACTTTTTATAAAGGGATTATTATTCAAACGTTTATTAAGCATATACAAAGTCTCCCTTTTGGCGCCCAAACGTTCAATTTTAACATTTTCTAATTTTTTTGGTAATTCTGTGCCTCAAATTTTGCTAAATTCTATCATAAACATTGTTAAGCTACTTAAAAGTTCGCCTTACTAGGCGTTTCTGCACTTTTATGAAAAAATTCAGACCCAGAACCCGTAAATCCAAAAATCTCGATTCTCCAGAAAATTCAACTTTTCAAACATTTTAAGCCGTTTTTTGCTTGTATCCTATCTATAAAAACTTTTGCTGCTAAAATACTAGCCATATCCGGGGTCATAAAAGCACGTCAAACCCAAAAGATTCTTCAAAAGGCCTTACTGGAATGCTGTCCAAGTCGCGCTTCCTGTAGAGGCGTTCCAGTACCAAAGCATCCGTCCAGCGCGGGTGGTAGACAACCATCTAAAATTCAACGCTATCGAAGCCTTGGGCAAACCAACCTGGCGAGCACAATATGTTTTCAGCTCCGTTTTCAGCGACGTCCATTTCTAAACAATTCCGTCTTAACTTTTAAGGGGTGGCTCCCGACCTTGTTGATCTCCTCGTACTTCTCACCAATCTCGTGGATGCGGCCCAGGACGAACGAGGCGACCACAGCCTCGATAGCCTCTTTCGGGTACTCGCCGATCAGCTCGTCCACCTGAAATTCCAACCATTTTAGCTTTAGTCAAGATCGCTCTCAGTCTGAAATTCCAATCGTTACGGGACGTGTAAGAACATTTTTTGGCGCCTGGGAAGTGACTTTTTCATTCGACACCCAAAACCATACCTTGGTGAAAAAGTCGAAATGCTGGAACCAGATAGCTTGGGGCAGCTCGCGGGTCGCGAAACGGTTCTTGATGAACGTCCGGAAGTGGAGCTGAAAGAGACCGCCGTAAGCAGAACCGTCTGATATCCCACATTAGGCAGCAGCTCCTCGGCGTCAGTGAGGTTCAATGAAACGTAGGTGTCATTGCCAAGAGGACGGATCTGAATTAGTTCAGGATTGGGGCAGGGAGTCGAATCTACCTCGTCGAGTTTTTCCAAGAACTCGCCGTAGCGATCGGCACTTTTTTGACGAGCTGCTGCCAGGTGTTCAGTATCCGGCTCGCCAAAGGCTTCGGCCATCATTTTTGCCAGCTAAAAAAAAGTTGGTATGAGAGAGGGAGAGCGAGTGAGAGAGAGAGAGAGAGGGAGAGAAAGAGGGAGGGGAGAGAGCTCTGGCCCACATCCTGGACGAGTAACTTCTGGGCGACGAGCTGGAGCGGCAGCTTCCAAGGGATGCGCGTAAAGAGAACGCCCAGCTCCCCGACGTCGTCATCAAACTGGCGAACTTCGAAAAATGGCGCCGAGTCCGCGCCCGTTCGGTCGATCACTGCGTCCAGGCCCGGCCGAGGCTTGCCAAACAATGGAGGACCACCGACCGACTTGAGGACGTCGCGAACCGGGCTACAAAAACAGTTTGTCCTTGACACCTAACAAGGGAAGGTTGCGAACTGAAAGTTTGACTTCGTAGTGAAAGACAATTCTCGTGCTCGAACGCAAAAAAATAAGATATTAAAAACTAAGGATTATCAACCATGGTAAATTTTTCTTTCAATAGCGTCGGATTCACAATAATTTTTTACCCCACTGACCGGAATTTCATAATTATTCCGGCTTCAGCCGTAAAGTTTTGCAAAATGCCAAATATCTCGACAAGAAAGATATCCATTAGGCAAAAACTGACTTCAGATCCGGAATCAGTGCAAAAAACCGGTCTGGATCAACTATTTTTCATTGCAAAGTGCAACTTTCAATTCGCAGCCTTCCCTTGTAAGGAAAATACCCCCATCCAATTGTCTTGGTGTCGAGACACATTTTGTACGTCTTGTGCACTTTTTGATCAGCTACAGTAGCCGTTTTGTTGGAGGGAACCCGAGTCAGGAAGTCTGAAATCGTTTATGACACCATATAACTCCATTTGTGTCCACCAATGATGGTATTCGTCACGAGGGCATCCAAATCGTTGCCGACCCCCACGGATAGATCGAACGGCTTGAGTGGATTGTTCTAAAAACGAGATAGGTATCAGTTTTGACGTGTAACACCTTCAGGTACTTTCCGCAGGCGAACTGGAAGAAATCCTGGCACGGGTCGACGTCCGGGGCAACCATTTTCAGCTGCAAGGGGGAGGTCTTGGAGTTAAACGTGCAGCCGGAGCAAGGGAGCGTTGGAGAGATAGAGAGAACGAAAAGAGAGAGAGAGAGAGAGAGAGAGAGAGAGAGAGTAAGTGTGAGGGCGAGAGGGAAGGAGAAACCCACAAAAAATTCAGCCGATTTTTTGCATCCCGGCGTCCTACAGTAGCCATCGGGGCCAACGTTTGGGGGCTTGGGACGGCGGGGATGTGCCGTCGTCTTCCTGACAATTGGCGGATCTACGATGATCGGGTCGGTGGATTTGACGAGAGGCGAATCTAAAAAAATTCATAATCGTATCTGATCACTTGTAGGATTTTACGTTCAAAGAAAACTGACGCTGCGCATTCCATAGCGTCCACGTGACGATGATGACAAGGAAGAGGAGCCCGAGAAAGGTGATGATCGCCGAACGACGATCGCAAGCTCTAAATGAAAATTTGAAATTTGCATAAATTGTTTTCCCAAACCCCCCGTTCGCCATCTTCGAGTGGGAGGAAAATGAAGATTCTCCTGTTGGGGAGATGGATAAAAGAGAAGATACAGCGAGAAATATGCAAATGATGCATATTTAAGCGTATGCAAAAGCACATCTACGCAGATTTTTGCGATTTTTTTTCAGCACGCAGTACTATGTATTAGCGGGGGTGGAGGGAGGGTAGCGATCAGGGGCCAAACAACTCTTTTAATTTTCCGCCGAATTTTACCAATTTTCATACATTTTTTATCATAAACTCTAACACTTTTGTTAAGTTTTAGAATTTTGTTATTTTTGATCTAAAAACACTTGAAAATGCTTGAACAAACGTTGTATTTTGTTATAGATGATAACCGCCGGAAAATTGTGGCTCCTATCCACAAGGGCAGTTCTAAATTCACCAACTTGATAAATTCCGGGGCTTCAGAATGAAATTACAGGCCGAGGAATGTTGGCTTTCGTTTCCGCTCTCTTTATTACACATCTCCCAAAGTTGCCCGGGCTGCGATTGATGAATTTATGGATTCTTCTCTCGATTTTAAACCTGATTTGGTTAACAGCTGGATTGCTACGTACACCGCCGGAACGAGACAGAAGCCCTCAAAATGCGGGTTTGGAAAATGACTTTTAAGAAGAGAACATTTGACAGAGATTGATCGGCTCGTCGAGGAGATGCGCCGGGCAGAACAAGAAATTGAAGATCCATTCCGGCCTGGGTATACGATACTAGGGCGTAAGTTTAGAAGATAGGAAGGGAGTCTAATGCACCACAAATCCGCCAAGTTTTAAGTTTCAAGGATGCCTCTATTTATTTTATGGCGACAAAAAAGGAAAAGGGCCAAGATATTTTCTCCGCTTTTTATGCTTTGCATATTTACCCTTTAAAAAACGGCATCGAGTTCATTTTTCGCGATTCGCGATTTCATTTCGTGTTGACATCGGATTATGCAAAATCCGATTTCCAGAACCAATCGACGATCCGTATCTGCTTCCCAACGAACGTGGCGATAGATCACCATCGATTGGAGGTGATTCTTTGCCAAAAAAAGGATGATGTTCCCTAGGTCGACACAATTCCCCAGATGGGCACCACCCCAGGTCGCCTGGGTTTGAGGATTTTTACTCGGTAAGATTCGAATTTACCCCCTGCCGAAACCTTGACTGCGAGGGGCAAACTAGAGTTTAGCCCATTCATTCGCCTCCACACTCACCAAGACGCTCACCAGGTAAATTGCCAAACACCAATCTTATCAAAATTATCGTATTACTGAAAAATAAAATTGTCCTGACAGAAGCGGATGTTCATCGCCCCGTATCACCACAACAGCGAGTCGTACAGCAACAACAACATGATGATGATGGTGGTTTATAAGCTTTTTAGATGCAAACTTTCTTTCTGTCTGCTAAACCCCCCAATAACGAACCAGAACCCTGCCATTGTACTTCATCTACAGAACTTCAGAATTCTATCAATGGTTCGAGCGACCGAGGTCGCCACCACGAGAACTGTCCCCAGATAGACCTGAGCCGGGCCAACATCCATGTATGTTTTATGCTTATGTTGAGGCTGGGGCTGGGGCTTAGGCTTCGGCTTAGGCTTGGGTCCGGACATTACTGCATACTCTGCTACCATTGCAGACATCAACGCCGACGACCACTTCAGCCGCAACAAAAACCAGGCAATCTTGCAAAAGAACTTGGCGGAGTGTTGGTGTCCATACGAGCCGGTTAATGTTTTTTAGTGGGCTTTCCCGTCGCGCCGAAAAACATTGCGCTCACCTTCAACAACATCAAAAGCAACAGGAATAGCATCAAGCGTGATCTGGCTCCGGAATTGGGTATGATCATAATGAGGAGTCGGTTCAGAAAATCATTAACTATCCTATAAAATCGAAAAATTAAACTGCTAAGTCCGGTTGGTAAACCCTTAAACCGCAACATACTCGCATTTCTTCAGAAATTGCCCAAAAGTCCCCTCGACAAGACCGCGGCTTTTCTGACGGAATGGTGGGAATGGGGTGGTGGTGAAGTCAGTTCTATCGCATAAAATTCTATGAACATTCCTTTTCGGTGGACAGTATGGCCAGAGTACAAAATCAACGCGACCGGCAGTAAGTCTTGGAAGAACCAGATCTTTCTAGCTTACAATTAAACTTAAAATAACAATAATTTCAGGAACCAGCACCCTAAATCATCGCGACCTATAGGTAAGGATTGATTCAACCATAGCTTTTTTGAACAGGCCAGAGAGAGGCCGATGGAGAGGGAGAGGCAGATGCCACGGGCCGCCAAAATTTGGTGCTTTGGCATTATCGGGGGGCATTGGAATTATCGGTAGTCATAAGCTCGATATGTACCCCCTTCCGATAACGCAAAAGTACCTAATAGCCCACCGTAATTTTAGGTCCGGCGAAGCGGCCACGATGTGAGTTCGATGAAAACTTTCGAATTTTACCTTTCTTGCTTTCTTTCGTTTTTCTTTCTCAAAAAACCTCTTTATTTCCTACCTTTGCCTTAAAACCCACCTAAGTAATTCCATTTAGTTTCCGACAAAAGTGAGTCGTTTTGAAGCTATTTCTCTCGCATTATTTGATGCAAAATTTCGATTAGGAGTCCCGGGCCAAGAGCCATTCAATAGGCAGCTGGAGGGGCTTTTGCGTAAGTTTTTTCAATCCACCGCACTATTCTTCGAGACTTGGAACCAGAGCAACAATTACTTTTTTCAGAACGGCATCACGAGGCGATGGATTTTCAGGAGTTCCAAAACACCAACCACTACTATGACTTGTTGGACGACGGCTGGACGAAATTTCAGGAAATTTTTTGAGGAACAAAAGCTTTTCCACAGCGGTTTGGTCACTGGGAATCGATTTTGGCTT